CTTTGACTTTTACAACAATATGTTCTAAAATAAATAAACAGGAAAATTTAGAAAAGGCTTTACAAAATGATGTTACCAATTTATCAGAATATAGGGATTAATCCAGAAAATTAAAAAACCAATAAAGTTTCAATCAAAAATTTACATTCTCTTTTGTATCTTATTACACAAAATTAGCTGATACTGAAATTGGAAAAGAGTTAACAACAGGCATCAGATAGAGCTTGAAGTATTTTCTAAAACTGTAGAACAAAGTTTGCTAGTCTTGAGTAAAGTGTTGCATGGAAATTAAGCAAATATAAATCTGTAAAAGCTATGCCATGAGCCTGTGGTCTATATTATAAATTGTAGCATTTTTAATGTTATCTCTTTAAATCATATTGAGAGACTTTGACCAGGCTAACTGTTTAAAAATAATTTTCTCCTGTCCAAATTTTATGTATTCTCATAATTCTAATGTTCATTCATGTTTATTGAGCTGAAAAAAACTGGCTCCTCTTAGATCATTTAGAGACACTCTCTCAAAATTGTAACCATTCCCTTGCAAATACAAAAAGTTACAGAAATGGACTCAACAGAGACAGAAGTGAAAGAATTATTGGAGATTGCCGAACATCTGGATAGGAAAGTACAAATGAATCTCATTTTTTAATCAGTAGAAAATTAGAATGAGTGAGCTTTTGAGGTCCCTTGAGAGATAGGCTAGATGGCCTTGTGATCAGAAAGTGATGCTTTCTCTAGTGCAGATTATCATATGATAGTCTACCTTCTAGCCTTCTCCACTTAGAAGAAGCACAATCAATGCATAAGGGGAAACTTATTGAATGCTGTGTGACTTTCGCTTTCAGCCCTACATAGTGCAGCAATAGTTGATAGAAGTGTGTGTATTTTTTTCCAGAAGCATAACAGTTCACTGATACAACCAGAGATGGAAAATATTGTTTTATTTCCAAAGCTGGCTATGACAATGAAAAGGACCTTAATGATTTTACTTAAAAAATGTGAAAGAAAAAACTTATGTCAGATCTTTGTATGCTATTCAGAAGATTTTACTTATGCCTTCCACATTCACCATGGTAAGCAGTTAGGTCAATCATAAATTAACTTTTCTTTTCATACTTGTTTTGATTTCAGCTTTTCTCATTACTCTATTTTCCCCTTACATTTTGTATACCTGAAAAAAAAAACAAAAACACAAACGAACGAAAAACCACCCCAAAGAAACAATGTATAAGAATGTTTAATGACTGCTGGACTCTTATATCCGTTATGATTTAGCCACTTCAATTACCTTATCAAGTTCAATTAACTGTTTGTTGGACTAATCTATAGTTGTATAACTGTTGTCAACATGAAAACTAAGTTGAGAAACAGCAATGTAGGTATAGAATTTTATCTTTCCTATAGACTTTTTAATTAAAATAAGATGGCATAATATCTGATGTAATTTTTCATAGTTTACTTTGGTCAAAAGACATGGTCAAAAAAGTATAATTTTTATTGTTTAAAATATAATAAAATGTGTCAGTCCAGTCTTCCTGTCTTACCTATTTAACTATTTCCAACATGTCTATTGGCTGTCATCTGGGTAGATCTGTTTTGATTTGAACAAAATTTGACATGAATCTCTTAGGTATTTAGAATGGAAGGGAAAAAAAAAGATTTTCAACAGATTTTAAGCAGCTTATTTCCTAGTTTTATTGGAAATCAACTTGATAAATAGGGCCCAAACAGAAAACCTTGGAACATCCTCCTCAGTCTTGACAACAAAAAAAAAAAATCTATAAGACTCACAGATTTCTGTGTCTCCTGGGACAAAGCAGTGAAGGATGGCCAAAGGCAAGCCACAGAAATAGTTTATCATGACACTGTCAAATGCTAAATGCAAAAATCCCTTGGACTAAGGCAGGGAGAACCTCTACTAGGTCAAGGCTACAACATGCAGCAACCCAAACTATTATGCATACTTTCACAAGGTGACACTTAAGAACATACACAACTCATAAAAAGAAGGTAACAAGGGTGGAATGGAAAGGTAGAGGGAGGAAAGAGCTGATGAGAAACATCACAAACATGAATAGCTAAGTTTTATAACTAATTTTATTCAGACATAAAATCCAATCCCTACACTCCAAAATGGTAGAATTTTTCTATTTGAGTCAGTCAACAAACTCTATCAAAGTTTGTTTCAGAACCAGTATGGCATTTTCATGTTAAACTCACCTTAGAAGTGAAAGCTCAGAGAAAGTACATATTGGGTGTGGATGCTTTTCAGTCTAAACTAATTCTAGTCAAGTACTTCATTTCTTCATTGAAGTGCAGAGGAACACATTCAAACCTTCATCTTGTCTAGAATTCAATACAATATAAAAATATCTTAATAACTCACTTGTCTGCTATTCTAATTCCCTTCCCAAACCTTCCCTCCTCTCCCCTCTCCTCTCCCCTCTCCTTTCCTTGCCTCCCCTCACCTTGCCTCCCCTCGTCTCCCCTTCCCTTCCTTCCCCTCCCCCTTCCCCTTCCCTTTCGGTCCCTTTGCATCCCTTTTCTTCCCTTTTCTCTTCCCCTTTCCCTTTCCCCTTCCCTTCCTTTTCCCTTTCCTTCCTCAAAACCTTTTCTTAAGCAGCTCATTTCAAAAAATTTGATGAAGAATGTACATAGTGACTTTTTTCTTTCTGTCAGCTGCATGAACTTAAGGCCTGAAGTAAAATTTTACATTACTGACAAAAATTGAGATTATTCAGTATGACTTATACCAGCCTTCCACTTACAGAATAATTTCCATCTCCTTTTACCCTCTCTCTTGCAAGTTGCAGAAATCATTCTAACAATATAGCTGGGAGGAAAAAAAATATGAAAAAGACACTTCCATTTTTATAATATATTTTAATGTTATCCCATTTCACATTCTCTTTAAAATAAGTGAGGTCATATTACAGATCAGCGGACCATCACTCCAGGCTGACCATCTTGTATGATTACAGGTAATTTACAGAGAGTATATTCCTACACTCTCCTTTCAGTTTACAGCCTTTTTACTACGCAAAGCAGTTTGCTAGCAAATAAATAAATACATGCCTGACACATTCATAGTGTGGTAATGGCGGGGGGGGGGACTGTCGAAATTGTTTGAAGTCGAAGTAATCAGACTATAACCACGACTAACGGGAGGTGGGGGAGCGTTTGTAAGGAGTGTGGATAAGTTTAAACAGAGAGTGTTGGAAGGAGAGGATGGGGGAATTTTCCCCCCGCTGGCCGGCCGCCGAGCATCCTACCGCTGTGCTCTGCTGCCACCTTGGCCGCGCCGTGGGACGTGCAGGCGGCCCCGCTCCGCGACTGCGGAGCTCCCGCTGCGCACCTGCGGCAGCGCTTCGTCTCCTGCCCGCGGAACCACACTCGGCCAGGACTAGTCGCACTCCCCACTCGCGTCACATGCTCTTACAATCAGGACAAGGATACATGCGATGTCTAAATGGTCTGGGGGTTTTGGGGGGTTTTTTTGTGTTTTTTTGAGCGCGGCTGGGAGTTACTCTTCAAAGGAAATTTATTTGCCTTCTGTGCTTAAAATCGGAGCTTAGGAATGTGGTTGGGAGGAGAATAACTTTTTTTTCTGTCCTTTTTGCTTACTGTAGGATTCTTCTCCTCCGGTGTCCAGCCTTATCTTACATATTTGATGAAGAAAGCACTCAAATTCCCATTCATACGGCACCTACCTGCCTCTGTGTCCTTCCTGCTATGTGACCACTCTGCTCTGGAAGGAACTCGCGGCAGCCCAGCCCACGAATGGGCTCTCGGTGGCGTTCAACTGCAGTTAGAGGTCGTGTCCCCACTTTTTTTTTTTTTTTTTTGGGGGGGGGGGGGGGGGGGCAGAGAAGGTGACAGACACATCATAAAGCACTGAAAACATATATAAATTAATATTAGAAAACCAGTGGAGTTTACTAATTTTGTTTCCTCCTCTACATCTTTGTGTTACAAGTGCTACTTCATTGTCTTGACATCGGGCTCTGAGCTAGTGGTACTGACTTTGAAAAGCTTTCATGCACTTCATTTCATCTTTGAATTGCACATGCTTTTCTCTCATTTATAAGGCTTTCTTGCGCTTTGGAGGAAACATGTTCTGACATGCTGGAGTTTGGTGATGGTAAATATTTCCTTTGACTACAAAGTGCATGTGTGAAAAAAACTTTTTTTTTCTCTCATGGAAATATGGTTCTCACTCACTCCTGTCTCCGTTGTAGTTAATAACCTGTAAACGAGCTGAATCTGGAGGTCTCAGTGAAATAGCACTTTTGGAACAGTACTTTTTGTCACAACACGCTGAGGAAAGTGCAGAAGCTCTGTATATGCACGTATGAGAGGGATTCATGCCATGCATATGACAATTTGCATACTAGAGTCTGGTGACAAAGAGGGACCGCAGGTGAATCCCCAGCGATATGCTTTGTGGAGAGGATTTTTTCCAGCCCCTAATCACAGAGAAGCATCCAGCTCTCCATCTGCTTCCCAGAGCTGGCGGTTCTGATTTGTTTCAAGTGAAAATAACCAAGAATAGAAAATGGCACGTAATAAAGAGTCCCAAGCCAAGCAGCCGTGTTGTCCTGTTCTTCTCTTTAAACCAGCACTCCCCCCCCGTGCTGAGGGCTCGGTGCCCGGACGACAGAAAGGGCTGCAAAGGGTTAAGCCGCTGATTGCTTGCTAGGCAAAGTTTGAGGAAGAATATGTTTGAGGCTGAGTACGCTGCAGCCTGGCGTTTGAAATCTGTCACCCTCACTTACGAGCGCTGCATCTGTGGTTGTCACCGGTGAATAATGATCGCACGGCGATAAGATCGCTCTGCGGCGGTGTGCCGGGGCCGTCGGGGGAAGAAAAGGAAATTACGAGGCGTTTAGCCTCTTCAGCGGGGTGTTCTTCAGAGTCATCGGTGGGTGTCAGGGTCAAATGACCGGCTGGAAAGCAGCTTGGGAAGAAAATTTCCTTCCTCCTTTCTTTGAGAGAAACCTTCGGTGATGGTGATCAGTGACAGCTATGGAAAACAGAGACCTCGGTGGTGAACCTTAGAAACAGTACCATGCCGGAGCCCAGCTGTTCTGCCACTTTCTCCCCTTTCAACCTGCCGGACCCGGTGGGCTTTGGGTGACCTACCAAGGAGGACCCATCTCCACAGGAGCAGGTAATGCCCAATTAAGTAATTTTCTGGATTGACATGATCTGGATTTGACGAAAAAATTACCTGAGTATCATCCACTGACTTGAAGGGTAGACTGGCTGAGAGTCCAGAGGCAGGGAGAGAAACAGGAATGATTCTGTTTAATCCCTCTGAGACTGTGGGGCAGGGAAAGTTTCTGCAGTCTTGCAGAACTTTTAACATTCCCACTTTCTTTCGTGACTGGGGACACAGAGGGCAGAAATACCTGCAGTCGACAATGGTCTGCTCTGCCTTATATGTTGGCGACAGGTTTATAAATACCAGCAGCATGGAGAACGGAGGGATGGGTGGATTGAGGATACGAAAGTGGTTTTTTTTCACTAGAAAATGCACTGGTTGTCCATCAGCTTCAGGAAGGAGATATAAATCATTGTCAAATAAGTGCTCTGAAAAGTATGCATAGGCTTAAGAAAGAAAGAATAGAAAGAAAAAGAACAGATTTTAAAAAGTAAAAAAAACAAACCCCTAGAACAGTCTTTGGAAAAGGGTATTCATTTGCCTTTGGACTCTACGGGGTTCCTGGTCCTTTCATCTCTCGGAACCTGCTGGGAGTTACAGGCAAACTCGACTACAGGGCAGCCCCCGCTCCAAGCCAGGGATGCAGGCTCTCCCCGCGGGTCTGACCCGTGCCAGACCTGCTTCTTCCTGTCAGTTAAGACCCGCAGAGGGCCCCCGGCTGCCTCCCCTCCATCCCGGGGGCGCAGAACAGACCCCGGCCCCCAGGAGGGGAGGGGGGTTTCCTCCTCAATTCCGTTCCGCTCCCTGAGTCTCCTGAGGAATGTCGGGTTACCTGCGCTCCTCCTTCCGCGTCCACCGCCCCCCCGCCCCCTTCCCGCCCCCTTCCCGCCCCCCGCCATCACTCCGCGTAGGTGAGGACGCAACTGCTTTTCCGAGCGGGCAGGCAGCGCGGCACAGCTCAGTTTGGCTCCGGGCCATCCATAGGCGGGGGGCACTCCGAAGCTCCCTTGGAGGGCAGGGGGAGGAAGCCAGGGCGGGTGCGGCGGGGCGGGAGCTGCGCCGGCCTGACCCTCTCCGGGGTTCGGCGGCTGGTTCCTCGGTACGGCTTTATTGAGCCTTTGAAGTCGTGAGTAGTTTAGCCCCCCCAAGCGAAGGGTGAAGGAGGTGCGGAGCTAATGGCGAGTGATTCAGCTTTTGAGGTATGGCTGAGCAAATACAAGCCAGTGAGCAGCCAGGGGTGAAGGGGAAGCAAACCCCGAGGCATTTCGGTTGCCATTTCTGTTTCCTCGACACATGGCATTGATCAGCTCCCTCTCGTCCATCCAGCCCGTCTCTTAAAGTAACTTGCAGCAAAAACCATATTGTGAATGTTTTTTACTAATGAAGGAGTTTGAGGCAAATTCTCTTCGCACATTCCACGTCCTATCTTGACGCTCAAGTATCCTATCGCTCAAATGCTCCTCGGTATTAAATAGTCTTGCCTGTAACTGGACTTGTCAGGACACGGCAGTAGCCTACTAGGGAGCTGGGCGGCGGGGGAAGGGTTACCCCGAAACAAGCGCAGACAGCCCGGGATGCACTAACACACACACACTCATACGGACACACAGTGAATGTGCGTTGGAGACATGGGCGGAGGGGGAGGTGGAGGTGGTGGGGGAGTTGTTACCGCTTTAGGGCAAAAGGCGGTTTCTCCAGCGGTTTTAAAGTCTTTCTGACTGATGATGGAAATCAGAATACTAAAGGAGGTCCGTCTCTTCCCTAAGGGTTGGAGATTCTTTTATTTTGTGTTACATTTGTTGCGCACTGCTACTACCTACCTAAAAGTTCGCAAGGGAGGGAGGAAGGAGAGGGAAAGAAGAGGGTGGGGGAGGCGGGCTTGTCGGCGGCTGCACATGAAATATCGCCATGTTGGTGGAGAGCACGGCTGTAATTACTGCCAGCGAGGGCATCTCTCAGGACCGCAGCTCGGGGAGTTTTTCAGCTCACTTCCCGGTTTTCCTTCCGATACACCCTGAGAGTCCCCGGAGCGGCGGTGCCGGGGCAGTCCCACCGCGAAGGGCGGCGATACCCGCACCTCCCTCTCCCGCAGCGCCGGCCCGGCGCTGAGGCGGGGCGGGGGTCGGGGGTCTGCGCAGCCCACACACACCCTCGGGCAGAGCCGCCCGCTTGGTTCCCCTCACTGAAAGCAGAGGCGGAGGGCGAGTCCAAAGGGACGGAGTTTGCTAAACTGTCCTCAGCAAGCAAGGGGTTAAAAGCGGGCGGGGGGACAAGAGGGGGGGAATAAGGAAGAAAAAGAGAAAATCTAGCCTGACTTTGCCTCTTGGAAAGCTTTAGGTTGCAGTCCTGCCTTCCAAGCATTCTTTAAACTAGAAATGTGGGAGGGACTCCAGGAGAGAGAGAGAGATGGCTATCAACTGAATTCATTACTGTAAACATCTCCCTGGGGTGTCAGGCAGGGAGGAAAAAAAGGCACGACTTACATTAGCAGGGAATAGTGAGATCTGAGGCATCATTAGTGCTAAGATCAGCCTGCAATCCCGGCTGGAGGCAGGCTCAGGACTTGGAGAGAGCCAGACACATACATACACACATACTCACATATATGTGCCCGATGCCTTCTCCGACTTCTGAGGGTCCTAGGTCGCCGTGCCTGCTCCTCATGTGATCCTTTCATCACTTCCAGAGGACAGAAAAAAAAAAAAAGGGAAAGAAAGAAACCCCAAGACCAAGCGTAGCCGCGGTCTCTTCTGGTTTATTTTTTTACCGGAGAAGGAGGAACGGCAGGGGGAAGAGAGAGCGAGGAGAGGAGAGAAAGTGCGTTGGGGATGCCAGAGCCGTGGGCTGCGCGCCGGAGGAGGAGGTGGCGGATCAGGGGGGAGGACGATGCCGCCGCCTCGTAAGGGCGGAGGAAGGCGCGGGAGGCGCGGGGGTCGCTCGGAGCGGCGGCTGCCGGAGGGGCACGGGCCCACGGGGCCGGCCGGGAGCGGCACCGGGCGGAGGGCGGCGAAGGCTACCACCGAGGAACGGCGGCGGCAAAGTTTTGGTGTGGGGGGCCAGAGGAGCAGAGGGGGATTACGATCGGTGCCGGCGAGGGATTCCCAGACGCCGCCAGGTACAGTTGGGGTTTCATTTCTCTCTGTTTTCCTTCCTGGTAATTCTAGCCCCGGGCGATTTAAAGCCGCGGTGCCCTTTGCCTTCTCCGAGATGGCAAAGTTGAGGAGCCAGGATCAGTTTGTGTCAGAAATATCGCCTCCGCCTCGTTAGAGCCCCATATCCGCGGCGCCGGGCACGCACACGCATGGATTTATGAATGGCCGGCGGCAAGTGCTAGGAGGGTCCCCGGGATATTTTACGCCAGCGTGTGGCTCAGGAGCGGGACGTGGAGCTGGCAGCTGCAGCCGGGTCCCGGGTGCCCCCGTTCCCGGTCGCATTTCAGTGGCGAGCGGGAGGGTGCCGAGCCTGGCCCCCACCCCATGGGGAGGGCAGAGCCGAGCACTACCCCTGCGGCAGGGGGACCGGCAGGGCGCCTGTGTGAGCACCACCAGCAGTACTATTTGGGAGGTGGTTCGGAGAAACGGGATCTTTAGAGGTGAGCGTTGCTCGGAAGAGGCGGTCGGCTTAGCTCGGCGCTGCCAAGTATTAAGGAACCTACGTGGAGAGTCGGGAGCTGCGCCCGGCGGGAGGATCCATCAGATCCCCAACAGCAGTCTACGGAGCGGGGCTGGCGGTGAGTGGGTGGGGGCGAGGTTAAGAGAATCTGATCAGGACTTCGGAATACAAAGGAGCCACTCAGAGACCTGAGGAGTTAGATGGTGATCTGACAAAATAAGGACAAATACTGCGGGGATTGGGGGGGTGTGTGTGAGTGGGTGGGTGGGGATGGTGTATGAACAAAAAATAGCAGTTCGCAAAAAGAAGTCAAGCAGCTGAAATGACCTCTCTTGAACATGATATAATACCCCATAAAAGATAAATAAACAATCAACAAAGTAGGAGAATAATACTCTCCACCTTCTTTTTGGAGTGGGAATCAGTCAACAGGAGCTTTTAATTAATTTTAATGGAGGAAATCTGTTTTAAGGCTTACAGTAAGCTAATAAATCCAAGGCACAAATCCGTGTAAATTCCTGTACTGTGTATGGAAGGTACTGATTAGATTTCTTCATATGCTACTTTTTGTAATGCAGAGCTCAGCTAAATAGAAAGGGAGAGGTTCCTTGCATGAGGAGCAGGAAAAAATACTAAAGCAAGTCAGACCTCTCCCTCTTTCTCCTCCTTGCTTCTCTCTCTCTCTCTCTCTTGAAGACACGATGTATGTTAAAGAGGTTTATTTCCTGCATCTAACTTTACAGTGCTTGCAGGGAAATTAAACCACTTTAGAGGTTGAGATTGATCACTGCTTGGGTTTAAAAAAACCAAACTAACCATACAAAAACTCCCACAAATTTCCATGGACTTAATTCCTTGCTTCATTCATTGACACGGTCTTTTACCAAGAGCAATTTTATAAATTTGTAGTTTTAGAGGAAACTAGTGAATTGGTTTCAGATATGTGTATTTTTGGGAGAAGAAAAATCTGTCCTGACATTTTTTCAAAACATCTAAAACATCTCTATCCACTTTTCTTTCCTTTCTTCCTTTAAAGAGTCAATATATGCAATCTTTGAGACATAAACTTTGCAGAATTAAAAAGATATAACAGGTGTAATTTTAAAGGCACCATTTCTACATGATAAAAGTGATGTTAAATGTTAATCTTGTTTCTGAAAATGATGTGAGAGATTTCAAGAGGCCTGCTATTTAAATGGTCATTCTCTATCCTGATACAGTAACAAGGCTGTTGAGTACAGGCCTGGAGTACTGTAGGTGAAATAAGTCAGAGCACTGTGTAAATACAGTGTCTGTAAAACTACCTGTGACTAGAACATTCATCAGTGTCTTTCAAAGTCCAAGGTTTTAGCAAGAAGTCGTGCTGGAATGCGCCCAGCGTTCTTAAGAGTTGCTCCTCACATACGTATACACTCTATATTTTGTATAAGGTGATGTTGTCTGTGTTTGCTTTTGAGAAGTCTGGATCTAATTTGAGCCACTATTACAAGTCACATTTATATCCTGACCTGCTGGATAGTTTGATTTAGAATGTAGACATATCTCCTTTACGCAACCCTACACCCTCCCAGTTGGAATCTGCATTACATAGGGTATGCTTTCCTTCAAGAATCAAGAATGTGCTTGCATTTAACTCTTAAAATAGCAGTATCTAAAATGTAGGATGTCATTAGAGCTGACTTCCCTACCCTTCCCACAGCAAAGAAGGAGAGAAGACATAGTTTTACCATGTGAAGAAAACAAGTACCAGTATCAGGCTTTTCCTGTACTGCACTTTCCATTTAAAGAACTGGAAAGAAGGCACACTTAAGATAATATTGTTTCCAGGAAGGTGAGGGCTTTATTTCTTAATCATTTCTGCTACCTCTTTAATCTCAAAACGAGTTCATTTTTGTGTAGGATACTTTCATGTAATTTTCAGGCTCTAAGCAGACAGATTCAAATCTAGTCCATTAGTGACCTCTATCTGTGAGAAGTGTATAGTCTTTTTTTTTTTTCCCTTTTTCTTCACCAGAGTGGATTGGAAACACAGACTATACATTGTTTTGGTGTTTTATACTTGCAAATCACCTAGTTTGTCAGATTATCAATCTCATAACCATTACGGACAATGTGATTTCCTAGTGTTTTAAACAGGAAAATAAGAAAAGCAGTCTCCAGTCCAAACATGAATCCAGAACTTTGAAAGAGCTTTGTACCTGTTCCAGCTATTCCAGTGATAATATGATGAATATTTGCAAGAATCAGAAAAATATGAAGTGGTACATCTAGTGGTATTGAACATCAATACTAAAGGGATTGCATTTATGTCTTTCTCATGTTTTGATGCTTGCTCTAAAGCAGGCTGAACTTGTGTGACATTTTATTGCTCCTCAGTGCTTACATAATAACTGAAACTTGAGACAAACACTCAGACCAGATATACTATAAGTAGAGTTTATAGTAGCAGGGTGTTTCAAAAATGTAAAAAAAAAAAATAAAAAAAAAATCCAGCTGTGTCTACATTAGGAATGCATGTCAGAGATCAAGGAAAAAGGGGTCTTTATAAACAGATGGACTCTTTTAGGGGATTATTAAACCCAGCTTCCCAGTACTAATTTGTCTCTTGTTTATATCCACAGCTATAGTCCATGTTTTTGTTAGTGATTGTAAATGGCAGTTAAGAACTTGATCAGCAAAATCTTTGGGTAGATGAATACCACTGTTTGACATTTACCAAATTGTAGTTGATTACCTCAGCACATGGTAATATGATGTCTTTAGGTGTTTCCTTCGCTCCCTCTTGGGCACTCTTTTTAGGAGTCTTTCTGACAATGCTATTTATTTATTTCCTTAAGAAACCAAAAGAGTTGGAACTTGCCCCAGAGGTATAAAAATGTTTTCTTCTTTTCTTTTTGTAAAACAAATATTTATATTTTTCTCTTATTAAAAAAAAAGTAGAAAAGAATAATATATAGTTGTTATTTTTTGTAAAGGTCTAATTTAACATACACTGAAGATATGAGCTTTAGTTCCCCTACAGTTTTATGTAACCTACACTTTACAAGTAATTGACTTCTTTTAAAGAAAAACAACCACAAAAAGATCATCATTAAAATATGTTTCTTGACAGGTATGTTTTATTCATTTATTTTAAACAAACCTAAAACGTAATCCATAGATGATAGGAAATAATTTTTTGAATCAAAAACTGTTCTCTGTTTAACAAATTACATTCTAGTCACATCAAGCAGTATGCCTCAGGAACAGTGCAATTTAATCTGATGTTTTCAGCCACTGGTGAAAGTGTTGGGACCTTATTATACTTTTTCTTTTTTATTTTTTTTTAATTGGTGATTTACCCAGTTCACAGATTTTTGTTTGGTTGGCTGTTATTTTTCCATCTTTGATTCTTTCTTCTGACATGGCCCCTTGAACTGAACCAAAATTAAATACTAGCAACAACTTAAAACCAATCCATCATACTCTATTCAGCATTCCGGAAAACTTAATGATGCAGAACGAGATCCATAAAGTATCCCTTCTAAAAAGAAATCTTATGTTATCTCTTAGCTCTACCTATAAACAATCTCCTGTATATTTTACTTCAAGCTATAACTGCTTTATTTAGTATTTTTTATTTAAAAATAAACTGTTTTCTAACCTAGTTTGATGCAAGGATGTATTTATAAAGACATATGGTGCAGAAAATTGTTGATCATTCAAAGGTACTGTCATTGAAACTGATTATCAAATCCTTGCAGACAAAACTCAGTAGGCTTTTGATGTACAGGATCAGATCATTACTCGACTTGATCCTGCGAAGTGATGGTTTTACTTTGGCCCCAGGTGAGAGGTGACTTGCTTCCTACAGGTCCTGGTCAGTATTTTGTAGGATCTGCTCCTTACTAAGCAGAATATTAAAGGTCACAGGTAATATTCTGGCCTTCAAGTGAACAGGCCACTTTCCTAACTCCTAAACATCAGCTAACTATTCACACTATAAATTATAATTGTAATTTTCTGCAACAGTTGTGGATTAAAGACTGCAAAACATCGCGAAGAAAAAGAATAATTTTGAGAGGTAGTTAGGGCAATAATCTCTAGATTACTGTAATGTGGTTTTTCAAATCCCAGCCCAGGCAGAGATATGTCTTGAGCCACAGAATACAGTATTTACTTCCTTTTATCTTCATTTATTTGTGAATATATCACAGTGAAAATGTTTGGATGAAGGGACAGAAGTCAAACTTCCTTACTTTGTCTAAGTTGTCATTGGTAATGTAATTACCTTAAAATATCTTATAGACATCAAACTAATTCTTTCCTGAAAACATGCTAGATGAGTAAATTAATCTGAAACTTTTCCACAGTCTCTCATCAGACAAAACTGTCAAGACTTTTTTAATGTTGGGAATCTCGAGGGAGAATTACAAGCAAAAGATGTTGGGTTTCCATGTCTGATTTATTAGCCATTCACTGTCATGTACTTCTGTGTTCAGGAAGGTCTGGGTAGGCTAGACA